CCGCCGCCCTCCTGCTCCGCGTCCCAGGCGCCGCAGCCGCCTCGGCTGGCCGGCGACGGCGGCGACGGCGGCGGCGCGGGCGGGCCGCTCGGCGAGGCCCTGGTCAGCCCCGACGGGACCGTCACGGAGGCGCCCCGCACTGTCAAGAAGGTAGCGCGGCGCGGCGCGGCGGGGCGGGGCGGGGGGACCCTCGGGCCCCGGGCGCCCCTCCCACGGGCATAGGCGCCCCCCGCGGCCCCCAGGAGCCGCCCGCGAAATGCGGCTCCTGCTGCTCCCCGGCGCGCGGGCCTCGGGAAGCGCGAGCCCCTGCCCACGTGCAGAGCGCGCCCCTGGCCGTGGGCGCCCCCCGCGCCCTGGCCGGCGAGCCTCGGAGCTGGGCTGCGCCGGGGGGGGGGGCCCTGCCCTGCCCTGCCCTGCCCGCCCCCGCCAGCCTCCGCTCTTCTGAATCGGGGTTCCCCTCCGCGGTGCGCGCTGGCAGGCTCGGCCGGGGGCGGGGGGGGCGACATCGGGGGGGGCAGCGGGGAAGGGGGCGCGCTGTGGAGCGGGTCGCAGGGGGCGGCGCAGCCCCACCGCCCCGCGTGCTGCAGGCCGGAGCGTGGCCCGGAGCGGCGCCCGGGTGGCATCGCGGGGTGGCCCCCGCACCCGCGGGGCGCCAGGTTGGGGCCGGCCGCTGTTCCGAGCGACGGCTTTGAGCCACTGCCCCGCAGCCCCCCACGGGGGAGCGAGGCTTGCTGCCCGCGGGCCTGGGCCCCGTCCTACCTGTGATATGGGAGAAAGGGGGCATGTCTGGGAATCCTGGAGCCCTTGCCCCCTGCTTCTCTCGTCTTTGCGATTCCGTCTTCCCGGTTCTTCTACCTGGAGCATCTCTGCTCGAAAGAGCAGCTTTTGTTATGCAAGTGATGCGGTTCTTTTAGCTGAGATGTTCTTGACCCTGTAACTGCCCTCAAAATTTCCAGGAAAAGAGTTTTTCATAGGACTGGAATTCTTAGGCTATAGTCACTTAATCTTGCAGCTTACTTTCCCGTTAGATCATTTCAGAGCAACTGAAATCCTTAATCTATCATTTATCTTCTCCCAGTATGTCTGTCCTGTTGAAACTTTTTGGCTGTCCGTGCACAGAGAATTCTTCTTCTTACCTATCTGTAATTTTCTATTAGCAGAAAAGTGAACAAGTTGTTTGCATTTGAGTTTGGCCAGTCTTGTCCCTTCTTGTCGATTTCAGGGTATGTAGTAGGTCTGTATTCAGTTGGCTTGTAACCATTTTTCTCCCTCTGCATTTCCTAGGGTGTGTTTTAGTCGACTGCTTATGATTTCAGTTATTCTTCAAATCCAGCAGAAAAGATTGGCAGCTGCGTGGATTTAGTACAGAAACATTCAGGCAACAGAAGTAACATAATATCTTGATTAGGACCAACTGGCGGTTGCAGAGGAATTTTTGAGCTTCAGAAAGCTTTCCCTGAGTTCAGATGTTAAACAGCCTAAAAAGCAGAAGGGAGGGGCAGAAGCGAAAGGGAAAATGCTGCTGGTAGAGCACATTCAGAGCAGGGAAGGGCAACTCTGTGGGGTACGGGGGGGGGGGCCTGCTCTGCCTCATTGCTCACCTGGTGCGGCTCCCCTGCCTCCCTCCCACTGGACCTGCCACCCAAATTTGTTGGCAGGCTGGCAGCAACGTTGTGGCAGAAGTGCCCCTTTTTGTTGGGGCTCGTGGTCTCTGCAAAATGGCCAGAAAGTGGCGGGGGGGCTGCGTGTTACCCACCCAACGGAAAGACGCAATTTCTCTACGTTCGGGTTTCATGTTGAACTTGCAGCCTGGAGAAGTCAGATGACTAGTGCAGCAGTCATAACCTTTGGTTAGTCCTGATAAAAATGCGATGCGCCTGCTGCTGTTCTTCGAATGCTGATCACGCGCACTTCAGATGGAGAGGAGCAGAGCGCAGGCCCCGGGGCAGGGGAAGGGCCATGGTCTCTGGGTCCACACAGTTCCTGTAGCAACAGATAAAACACTCAGGAAGAGTCCACTGGTCCTGCTCACGCCTGTCTAATGCCTGGTGTGGTACAAAGGTTGCTCTCTCATCCTGACTTGCCATGCGGAACGATTAGGAAATCGCTCGCTTTTGGAGGTCGGCATTTCACCGTCCGTTTTCCTGTATCAACACCTGGCAATTGAATCGAGTGGATTCGTGCGGTGGGAGCTCTGAACTAGGAGCAGGGAGTTTTTCTCGCTGCAGCAGCGTCAGGGTGGCTGGAAAGGGTCATTCTTGTGTCTCTTGTGTAGGGTCCGCAAATCTAGTCAAGGCAGTTTAGGAGAAATACAAGCATAAATTCCTGAAATTGCTAATTGGCGTTCCCCAAAAATGTTTTTGGCTTGAACCAGTCAAGGGCACACAAAGCTTGCTTGACTAATGCACCTTTTGCATTTAAGCCTAGTAAGTAAAACTATTTTAATCGCCAAAAGCCTGTTTTTAGAAGAAAACTGAGTGTGCTTTGCTATAAGCCAGTTCTTTGTGACATCCCAAGAAGCTGGAAAGAGCCAGTCAGCCTTGGAAAGGCAGGAGGACTGGGTGCTGTTTCTCCAGAAGGCTGAGTGGCCCCGAAGGACGGCTTCCTTGAGGCCTCAGAGCGGCCGTTGGGAACGGGTCTTGCTGCATCAGACTCGGGTTGGTAGCTGTCTTGGCTTTTGCTGTTTTTTGGCTAAATATTTCTTCATTTCTATGAAGAAATGCCAATATGTGAACTAACCCCCTTTTTAAAATAACAGCAGTTTTGAAACTTTTAACCTTTATATTATTTTTGCCGTTTTACTTACTTTTAATTGGCCTCTGGCTTTTACTTTTTTATGCTGCTCTCAGATAAGTGTGTGTTTTGATTTAATTGTGGGTATAACTGCTATTATGTAATCTGCTTCAAAAGGGTTACATAATAACCCTCTAAAAGATAGCCTATAAACTAGTGTGTAAGTTTTTTTAAGCCTTTAAGGAAGGGAGAGATTTTGGTTAGCAAAATGAAAATAACTCCGACAAGCTGATAACTCCGACCAGTTCAGGAAAAATCTTTATTTGCAACTTAATGTTTCGGTTAGAGATAGTGGAGTTGCTGATCCTTATATAGCAAACACTGCCCGCCCCCCCCCATGGATAAGAGGGAGGTAGTGCCATGAGGTTTCTGTTGTAGCAGTACTTCTTTTTTTCTGGAAAAAGCCAAAACACTCCCAAAGCCACCCAGTGATGACCAGCGGCCATGGAACGTCGATCGTTGGGTTAAGAAGCAGAACGGCCAGGCAAACTGGAACGGGGTAGAGGAAATCCCTGTTGGCCAGCTGGCCAGAGCCTTGAACAGGAATATTTCCGCTGAAGTAGTTTGTTGTGAGTCCCGCTTAGCCTGTCAATGGAACTATATTCCTTTACTTATTTGTAAGCAAGTGTGTCTGGTGTCTGGGTCGATAACTGCTGACTTCGGCCCTCCAGGGCCTTGGTATCCGGTCATCTGCCCAAGCTGAGGCTAAGCGCTTGCCCACAAGCCTTTCCGTTCTCAGGAGACAATGATGTGAAGGAATAAAGTTTAACCTGCCTGTGTTTCTTCAATGGGGCCTTTGGGTTAGTACTTCTTTTGTTTCAGGGCTGGCACCAAACTAAAGTTGGGATAAAGGCTTCTTGAGCCTTGGAATGCAGTAATTATATAGTGTCTGAATGTTGATATCTCCTCCTCCTCAAAGGTAAAACCCGGAGATGTAAAGTTATGATTTAAAGGCTGCTTTTTTGAAACGCGGATTGCTGTATCTGCAAATAGGCATGTCCAAGTTTAGCTCATCCTTCAGAACCCTTGGCTGCTTGTAGTTCGAAGTCAAGAGCTTATCAATAAACGTGGTGCTAACGCTTGTAAAGGCTGGGTTGCAGATGGAGTTGTTCAGGACGAGTGGATATGTTCCCTGTGCTTTTCCCTTCTGTCAGAAGCACTGGGCAGCTTGGAACATATTGCTACAACCGGATGTCTGTCTACTTGTCTGCCGAATTGGAACATGTGTTACTTTTCGCAAAAGGCTTGTGCTTATCTCTCGCTCTTAAGCTCTGTTCCCCAAGAGAAGGGAAGACAGATCTGTCAGAAGCTAAGGCTGCAAGCCCTGTACACCCTTACCCAGGAGTAAGAACTGCGTGGGGCTTAGTTCGCAGTAGACATGCGTCGGGGTGCCCTGTTAATAGCCAAAGTCTGCCTCTTGGCCCTAGGTGATGCGTGACTTGGGCTTCTCCTCCCTCCTTTTAAGCCTTTTCTGTGAGTGGGCCGCTGTCGCATTTCTGCTTCATTTGTGATGGGATAGTCAAGGGGCCACCCCAGCTGACGTGGGGTCCCAGCTCTTCAGCCTTGGAGAAGCACTCCCTGGTCAGGGCCAGGCCTCTGTATGCAGAGCACTGTATTCAGTGCAGTTCTCTCTGCCGGCTGCAGCGTTGAGGTCACAAGACTAAGCTCAGAGCCAGCACCGGGGGGGGGGGGGGGGCGGGAAGAGATGAGCAAGGCACCACTGCCCTGTGAGGAATCCTCGTGGTCCTGCTGACTCCTTTCCCCATGACCTGCTGTGAAAGACTCGGTGGCTGAAGCTGGCTGGCTGGGTGCTTTGGGAAGTGGGAGGAAAGCCGAGGCGCCCCCTCCGCCACCCTGTGCTGGCTGCCCACCTTCCTCCGAGCACGGAGGGCTCAGCTGCCCCCTGGCGTGGCAGCCTGAGTCACTCGTGGCTGCAGAGTGAGGCTTGCCTGCTGGATCTCTGCGCGAGATGCTGCCCTGGGGTCCCTTTGCACATCCATGCAGGGCAGGAGGGCAATTAACTCTCACCCAGAATGGTTCATGCGCATGAATGTATCTTACCTGAACTTTATATGTGCCGAAGTAATTAGCAGTCTGGGAAAGAGTGGTCTCGGGCCTTTGCGTGGATTCTGCCCCGATGGCCACAGCCCTGGCCTGGGAAGTCAAATGGGTTCTTTTCTTCCTTTGTGGCTGTGGTCAAAATATCTTTTGAAATGGGAACCAAATTAGCCATACACCGGATGGGAGCTTTTCTGTAGCTGGAGTAACACTACTGCTGGTTTAGCTATTAAGCTGCTCAAACAAAGCTAAAGAAGAAGGTCAGATGCATGGATCTCATGCAACACAGAGCATCCCAT